TGTTAAACTTTGACAGCCTGGCGGGACCTTTTCCCGTGGTCCGATCAGGTCGCCATTAGGCTCAAAAATCTTGTATTTTGTCGTAGCACGCGATGGCACTACAGGCCCTCGCGATTTCAAAACTTCGTGCAAAACGCCGTCCTCTAGCGTGGCGCGTGAGAACCTAAACCCCGCGCCCCGCCCCGACCACAGCAACACTGCACCTGAGCCCGACAAACCACATCCCACTCAGCTCTCCCCCCGCTCCACTCCACCCCTTGGCCGCCCCTGGCGCCGCCGAGAGGAAAGGCGCCGTGGAGGAGAGCGGCGCGGAGGCACAACAACAAACACACGAGCTCCAGTTCCAGAGCGCAAGGCCGCGGTGCGGTGCAGGGAGGGAGGCTGGTGTACTCGGGTTCGGCCGTAAGTGAACACAGGTACGTACGTGGTCGTGGCCTGCCCCGCTTCTCCTGGGAGAGAACTCCCGAGCAGACGATCCGAGCCGGCAGAGGAGATTTATATTCCAACTTATTATACGCGTTGGAAGCATTTGCAACGCGGACGGCGGGGCGGGGCGCGGCGGGGCGAGCGCGCAGGGTGGCCGCGCCGGGCCAGCGGGGGGCTCTGGCTCGCGGGACGATCAGGCCGCGGCAGGAGGAATTTCACGCTGCCGCGACGGGGCGGCGGCATGGCGGCGAGCAGAAGAGTTCGCAGACCGCCCCGCGCAATGTCTCTCTCTCCAGTACGTGTACTGCGGAGTTTCCAGTGCAAAAGAAGAGTTTGCTCGGAATACACGCAACACAACTGTGTTCAAGCTTGAGCTTTATCCACTGCGCGGCTCTACCTCGGGGCTTGAGACAACTATCTACCACAGAACTAAAATTTATAGTTCTCAGGACTATTTTTGGAAGGTTAGCCCAACCTTTACTTTTATGATAGTTGCAGCATACCATCTATGTGGGGGTCGCTGCTCCATCGCTTTCCATACTTTTCTGGGTTATGTCGCGGTAGGCGTCGTTACGAGTCAAGGAAAGCGTCATCGTGTATAGAGGAAAGAGAAACGAGATCCGGCCGCGGCCCTTCCCCGTCATCGTATGCCTCGTGACTCAGTCATCGTCGGTGCGATTGGTCCGGATTGGTCGTTATCGGGGCCTCCGCGCCATACGGTAGTCCCGGACCGTCCCGGACGACTAGTCCGCGGCGTACAACCCGAAGGATCAAACTCCAGACGACGGGCGGCGCGACCCGGCTCTGAGTTATTTATCGACGGGCCGTATTCAATCTCCCGAGCGTGGGCCGCTAGCTGCTCTGGGGCCCCGTCGCGCCGCGTCACGCGAGTACGCACCGCGCGCCAACGCCGACCTCGGCGCGCGACTGCAGTTGTCGCACCTCCCCGAACAGCACACATCACTCATCCTTACTGTCGTCGTCGAATTATCGGAAGCGGTAGCAGTAAACAGTAAAACGGCTGGAGGCGGTGGCCGGTGGTGCGGGGCTCTCAATAAACGCCTCCGCCTCCACACGCAGCGCCCGCGGGGTCGACACGGCCGGCAGCCCGGGCGACTCAATCACGCCATCGCTCGTAAAACAGTCCGCGCGTCCGACAGACTCGAGAGGAGTTTGTTAATGTGCCGCTCGTTTTTGTACCGAAATGTTTTGCTTTTGCCATGTACCACAATAAGGCCACCACCTGCCGCACTCCACACGCCCACCAGGATCTTATCATCTATTACCGACAATTTCACCCCCCCCCCCCACCCGCCTTAAGCCCCGCGAACGACACTCCAGAAAACGTTTTCCTTTCGTTTTTTACAGAAAAATATGCCGCAGGTTAACAACGCGGCGCGGCGACGGCGGCGTCAGCGAGACACTGTAAGGCTGCTGGCGGAGGGAAGCCCACACGGCCTACAAGGGGAGGGGAGGAGGGAAGAGGAGAGGGGGCGAACAAGCCACAAGCCCCCGGCCGCGCCCAGTTGTCTTTCTCTTAATGACAATGCAAAGACCATGAGAGGGATTTGCGAATCAATGGCGGCAGGTCATGCCCGCGCCCCGCCCCGCCCCTCTTACACCTTCGCACAACGACGCCAAATCGCGCGAGACAATGCACCGGCGGCGGCGGCGCGGCGAGCACGGTCGCGACTCTGTTGCGAAACTAGCGCGGGATACCCCTAGCGAGATCCTCGACCACTCTCCTCGGCAGAACGCACGACAAAAGCAATGCCAACAAAACGGAAATCATTGAAAATTATGCGGGGTGGAAAACAAGCAAACAAAAAGATTGCAAACAAAACGTACGCGTCGCACTCTTTAACATTAGGGGACACAAGACCAGCAGCGCCTGAAAGGGAGACACGATCACGAAACACGCGTATGTTAGCCTACGTTGTTGTGTTGTGAACGGACAGGAAAGAAAGTGGGGGGGGGGGAAATAATGTAATAAAAAGAGAGAAAAGAGAGAAAAGAATGCAACGCTGGAGCGCAGAGGCGTGGCGCAGAGACGCAAGTGTGCGTGGGCCTCTGTCGCCCGGCGGGGCGGGGCGGGGCTGGGGCTTAAGGCCCGACGTGCCGGGGGTCGACGCCTGCCTGGCTGGCAAGGCGGTGGAGAATGCGTCCTTGTCAAGGTAAAAATCAAGCCCTCCTGATCTTTTCTGTCCCCCGTCCTGCGCGAGGAGCCGCCCTCCCTCCCTTCCCGGCGGCCGGTCGTCCCCGGCCCACGTCGCCGTCGTCCCCGAGCGTCGCGTCGCGCCCCGCGCCGTACCTAGAGTGTGTAATAGTCTCAGTGGGCGGGCCTAGCGTCGTGCTGACAGGTTAATGGGTTCCGCCCAGCTAGGCCCTTATTGTTATTGCCTCATGTCCGATAATTTTTAGCAGATGATACCTTGAAACACTTTATACTTAACATTAAAATACATTAGTAATATCAAGGTGTCAGCAGCTTTAACTCTCCATAGTGGAAGAGAGGTAAAAGAGAATCAAGCGGTGACCAGAAAAACAATTTAATTGGCGCTGGCGGGACCGTGTCCGGGTGAGTGTCGCGCCAGCCCCCTCCCCTTACCCAGCCTAACAATACGGGCTCTGGCGGGACGGCCGGACCTAGCGAGGGCCGCTAGCCGGACCGTGTCCGAGTGAGTGTCGCGCCAGGCCCCTCCTCTTACCCTCCAACCCTGCCTAACAATACTGAGGCTCCCGCGGCTTCGCTTCCGCTAAATTACGTAAGTTTTACTACTTATACTCATTACTTTCATGGATTTCAATCAATTCCATTTTGTCTGTCAAGTGTGCGACTCTAATAAGATTTGCTTATGTTACCAATCTTTGTTTTCCTAATTATTACACTATTCAGGCGTACAGACACATGTACCCTACACTACCACAAGTCTTTATAATAATCACTGTCAAAGAAACAAGTAAGACGTCAAAAAATTATGCAAAACCACTAGAAATAAAAACCATTCTATGAATATTAAAGCACAGGTTTACTATGGTATAAAATTGGTATCATCTGCTTTCAAGATAGATTCTTGATTTAGATTTTTTATTATTTTGTTTTTGGCGCGTGTGTGTCGGTCCGGTGTGTTGTGTGTGAGTGCGGTAACGTACGGGGCGGGCGGGCCCACGCGTTGCGTTACTTTCAGCTTCACTCGCACGGAGTCACCACATTGACAAACCGCTTCCTTCCTCCTTTGGTTTTATTTCGGTCGCAATACTGTATATTTGACCCCCCTCCCCCCACCCCGTTTTACCTTTCCCCTCGGCCCGACCATGCCTGCGTCTAACGCGACCTAACGCCCCTAGATGCCTCTTCTCGACGACACGAACGATCCACAAATGAGTTAAAAAACTAAACGGCAAAATAAATGGGATTCGTTTAATAGCGCTGCGGCTCGAATCAATCAGTCGGTTCGATTGAGTCT